GCCATCTTCTGGTGGAACCGACCTTCGAATCTCTTCACCCAACACTTTCACTCGAAATGGAAGTAAGCTCGTCAATTATGAAACAACAGATAACTCGAAACCCAACTTTTCTTTCCATATTTTAATATCAACAAAATTACTTATATTCATTATAAGTAGACTGTGAATTCATCAGCACTTCTGCAATTCATAAGATCCACGCCACTTTTCGGTGGGAGTACACTCAGGGCAAGTATGACTGGAAACAATTGTTATTTATAGAAAAAAAACCCACTATCATTCTGCAAATCGGCTTAACCGGACTTGAGCGTTGACAAAGTATAAAGCTAGGCCAACACTCGAGTCTGTATGGCGTATATCACAATTTAACTGATTTCATTTCTCCCACCTCAAAATTGTCATTCCAGGCCCCAAAAAGTCTAGATTCAACCAACCACAACAGGCCATCCCGGAAGAGGAGTTAGAAGACGACGAATTCAACACAGGCGTTGACCAGTTCGATTGCAACTATCCTCAACCTGTAGCCAGGGCGTGTGAGGAACGCGAGGAAGTCGACGAGGCCGAAGAAGAGGAGGACGAGGAGGAGCGCTACTCGGGCAAGACTGGCTGCAGGCGAAGCTTCAACATGGCGACCACAGCAGCAGTCGCCTCCTCGGCGACACAGGACCTGGACCAGCTGCTCGACGAGCTTCGACTTACCAGCATGAACATCTCGTCCGGCAGAAGTCCCTCGACGACGGCCTCCTCCGGCGGCTTTCTCACCTCCGGACATCGGTCCTACCTGACAACAGCGTCGTCCAGATCTCCCGGCCGCTACTACACCAATCCCACCTCGTCGAGGTACCCCGTCGGCGCGTCGACCGGCTCGTCCGGCCATCGTGCCGCTTCAGTTGGCCTCACGGTCCGTGACTGCGGCGCCCAGCCGACCGGCGGCACCGGAGCCCTCGGAGGCGTCTGGAACTCGCCGTCGTCCGGCTCCAGTTATCAGCACCACCGGCATTCGTCGACGCGCTACGCCGCCTCGAACCAGCCGACCGGCGCCGGTGGAGCCAACTTCATGCAGTCGACCAGCCCAACCTTGTGTGATCTGAATGGTACCGCGAGTGGTACCGGCGTTTCGGGACTTTCCGCGGCTGGAAGTGTTCGCGCTGTGAAGGCGGCCAATGCGGCAGCGTCAGCGTCAGCAGCAGCCTCTTACATGAACGGAGGTCCACACCATCTTCTGTACCCCAGCCCCGGATCGGGCTCCGTGTCGCCAGCGCCTTCGATGCGACAACACCATCAGACCATATACACCACCACACTCAATCATCATCACAATCAACAACAGCATCGACAGTCGTCACAGCACACCTTTTCGTCCAGACCGCCCATGGGTCCTCCCAGAACCTGCAATCAGATTCATTTGACCATAGATCCAGGCAGTGGAACATCGACGGTAAGCCATCGCATGACGTTGAATAGCGACGAGCTTTTTTACCCACAAATCGATAAATATTTATTTAGGTCAAATGCTAATGGTATACTTTTCACGTTATAAGTAACCACTTGTGCCAAGTATAACTTTGTTCTCAGTGACTGGCTTTTCAAGGCTAATAGAAAAGCAGAAATAGGAATTGTGTTCATCCTAGTTCGCTTATGCTGTCAGCTGTTCCCACGTCAGCTCTAATCGTGTCATCGCCACCTTAAACGAAATAGAGGGAGCACAACTCAAGCATACTTTGTATGCAGATACGAAGAGTAACGGGGTTCCGATGAATCTCATGTGATAACATTGTTGGTAAGATTTTCATTTCGTATGAAAGTGCATAAACAGGTGAGGCAATTAAAATGAATAGATTGAG